TCCGCCCCTGCCCCTATAGGACGCCTCTGGCTGAGGCGTCCGGCCCGGGCAGCGGCTACCCACAGCTGCAGTGGCCCTGCGATCGCAGGCTCCGCTTTAGGCCCAGGCAAGGGACCCCTAGCTCCCGGGACTGCCAGCTTCGACCGTGCCCAGCTCCTATCGCTGGCTCCACCCGTACTTCCTGCTATCACTGGCCAGGGCAGCAAAGGCGCCTGATTCTCCGATCATGGCTGGGGGGCAGGGCAAAGGCGGCCCCAGGGTTTCCGATCACTGTCAGTGGCAGGGGGCTTCTTCCTGCTTTACCTTTCGCCTCCCTGCATTGTGCCTACATATGCAAATTAACCGCCATCTTGGTTGTCAGTTAACTGCCATCTGAGTTGGCAGTTAATTTGCATATAGCCCTTATTAGCCAATGAAAAGGGTAGCGTCGTATGCCAATTACCATTTTTCTCTTTTATTAGTGTAGATATTTTATTGATTTTTTACAGAGAGGAAGGGAGGGAGATAGTCAGAAACATCGATGGTAACATCCCCCCACGGGGGATGTGCCCACAACCAAGGTACATGCCCTGGACCAGAATCGAACCTGGGATCTTTCAGTCCGAAGGCCGATGCTCTATCGACTGAGCCAAACCAGTTTCGGCCATTCATTAGTTCTTATATGTGCTCTGACTGGGAATCAAACCTGCAAACTTGGTGTATGGGGAGGACACTCTATTCAGCTGAGCTACTTGTCAAGGTAGGTCTTTTCATTTTAATATGAAAAAATAATGTGTCCTCAGGAGCATGTTCCTTTCATTTAGTTTTTTTTTAATTACTAATTTTTAATATATATATTTTATTGATTTGTTTATATTTTATTGAGTTTTTACAGAGAAGAAGGGAGAGGGATAGAAAGTTAGAAACATCGATGAGAGAGAAACATCGATCAGCTGTCTCCTGCACCCCCCGCACTGGGGATGTGCCCGCAACCAAGGTACATGTCCTTGACTGGAATCGAACCCAGGGCCCTTCAGTCCATAGGCCGATGCTCTAATAATATATATCTTTTTTTTTTTTAAGATGATAACCTTCTTCTTCTTTTTTTAAAAAATATATTTTTATTGATTTCAGAGAGGAAGGGAGAGGGAGAGATAGAAACATCAAATGAGAGAGAAACATCGATCAGCTGCCTCCTGCACACTCTCTACTGGGGATGTGCCCGCAACCAAGGTACATGTCCTTGACTGGAATCGAACCCAGGGCCCTTCAGTCCATAGGCCGATGCTCTATCCACTGAGATGAACTGGTTAGGGTCAGAGTCAGGGTTAGGGTTTTGGGGTTAGGGTTTTAGGGTGTTAGGGTTACGGTTAGGGTTGGAGTTGGGGTTGGGGTTAGCATTAGGGTTGGGGTTGGGGTTGGGGTTGCGGTTGGGGTTGGGGTTAGGGTTAGGGTTAGGGTTATGGCTCTGCCCAGGATAGTGTTAGGGTTAGGGGTTAGGGTTAGGGTTAGGGGTCTTCCAAGGATAGGGTTAGGGTTAGGGTTAGGGTTAGGGTTAGGGTTAGGGTTAGGGTTAGGGTTAGGGTTAGGGTTAGGGTTAGGGTTAGGGTTAGGGTTAGGGTTTTTAGGGTTAGGGTTTTAGGGTTAGGGTTAGAGTTAGGATTAGGGTTATGGCTCTTCCCAGGATAGGGTTAGGCTTTTAGGGTTAGGGTTAGGGTTTTAGGGTTAGTTTTAGGGTAAGGGTTAGGGTTTTATGGCTCTTCCCAGGATAGGGTTAGGGTTAGGGTTAGGGTTAAGTGTAAGGTTAGGGTTAGGGTTAGGGTTAGGGTTAGGGCTCTGCCCAGGATAGGGTTAGGATAAGGGTTAGGGTTAGGGCTCTTCCCAGGATAGGG